CACAACAAAACTTTCACTAACCTATTCTTTGAAATAGCTTCATMTTATCTCACCTTCTTCATGAGACATTTATTCACCCTGTCCTTGTTGCTCTGTAGTCATGGTACCAGGTGTGCAGGAGAGGTTGCTGCAGCTGCTAATGACATCTGTGGAGTGGGTGTGGCCTTTAATGCAAATATCGGAGGTARGAAGCCATGATATATGCACCAGTTTATCAGTGACCTAACAAAAATTGCTGAATTAATAATTGCAACATTTAGGGGGGGTAAGATAAGAGGAAGGTCAATAGACCTAATTCATGTTTGTGTAATGTTCACCCATTTTAGACTACATCATTCCCTAGAGTATTATTTCTTTGCTTAACGGTTGCACATCAAGACACATGAATAAAGATACAACTCAAACAAAGAATCTTGTTCTCAAGAGAATGACACATGGTCTGAAAAGGGTAAACATTGCCCCAAGACAAACCCTGATAAGGTAGAAAACAAGGGAAGATACAGGAAATTAATAGAAAATGTTGTTCTTTTGGGCTACCTGTGATCCATGTAACGTTACTTCAGGAAAGACCCGAGGGGTTGTGAAAGTGCCAATTCTCCCCGCCCTCAAAATAGTGAAAAAATAATATATCAGCAGCATCATCATGTTAATTAAATAATCAAGATCACCATATCATTTTTGTTACTTCAACCATAAAATGGCGAAAATATACCCCCCTATCTGAAGTCCTAGAGATGATTCTTTAATTATGTTTCCAATATTCTATTTGATTTTCCCCTTTACAGGAGTAAGGATGCTAGACGGCCAGGCAACAGACATACTAGAGGGCAGTTCCCTAAGCTTCCAATCAGCTTACATTGATATTTATAGCAACTGCTGGGGACCAAAGGATGATGGGAAGACTTTTGGTAAACCTGGAAAACTGGCACAGGAAGCACTGATGCAAGGCRCACTCAGAGTAAGCCATATGGTTACCATAACAATAATAATAATAATAAAGAGTATTTTATATAGCGTCAATATTGCCTGGCTTCAACGACGCTTTACAATATATTGATCATGAGAAAAGATATTTGGATAAAACTGACGAGTAGGTTTATATTTGAAGCTTAAATCAAATTTATTAAAAATATTAGTTTAAATTGATCATTAAACTTAACAACATGATTTTTAATGCAGAATGGTCCTTACTCACGCAGCAGACATGTTTAGTCTCATTAGAATAATAACCTTTGTTTGACCTGCATGAAATTATTCTCAAGCACTTGAATGTGAGGCTACATGCATTAGAATCTGCCGCGTGCGTAAGGCCTATTGTTACTATATGGTAGCTACAATACTATAATATCCCAGGAATGGTTGCCATGACTACTGCAACTGAGATGGTTACTTCATGGTTACTATGTGAACCACAATTTTGTTACCAACATCACCTTGGTKATCAATCATAGTACTAATCTCAAAYTATAATTCTTTTGTATGTTTGATGTCATGGTTACTGCTCTGATCTGGTTATTATGCATGATGACTATGGCACATGAYTTTATCATATAATTACCTATGAAATATCTATTTTTCTCTATTCTGAAAAATTGATATCTTCACAC